TATACCCAGGAACAAAATTAAGACCAAAAACTTGTTCTCTGGGCAAGGGTTAAGTATGTTTTTTTAGTTGCCATTTACATACATTATCCAATGGATTCTTGAGGATCCTATACGGGATATATAACCTTCCTGCTCCCAAAGGGTGTATTTGTTTACCAGACTGGAGGTTTTTTGTGATTTAATTATGACCAAGAGAGTATTTTATCTTGACAGACACAATGATTACTAATATAATATCCTAAAACTAGTGTCCCTCACTTAAATTCCCCACTCTGAGAAATGTACTTTCCTAAATAGCTTGAATGGCCAGGTGTTAGTCTCACTCTCCATTTAAAATGCAAATTCTTTATTGTTTGGAAGGGCCTGGCACAAGTCCCTCAGACCTTGTTACATTGTAATTTTAGGTGGCTTTTGGAGTTTTTAACCCCTGGATTAGCTGCACATTTAACACCTTCAAGTGACTTAAAGCACTCATTATTCAGTTTAAATTTGTCACTTCTGGGCAGGATTATCTCTAGTCTGCCTCATTTTACTCCTCTTTCGTTAAGGTGTAGCCAGTCTCCACAGCTATTCTGCTCAAGTTGAAAGTCCTCTAGCATCCCAAGATGCAGTGGCCCCTTCTGAGTCAGAGTGTGGGGAAGAGCTGGGGGCTGAACTCTGCATAGCCTGGCGGAGTGCAGGGTTAGCAGGAACCATCCTTGGGCTGCCGCACTGCTGCCACCGAGTTCAACCCTGCTGTAGGTGCCGGGCCCCACTGGGGTGTGTATCCAGGTCCTGGGGGCCAGATCCTTTTTTCCTCCAGAGCTTGCCTCCCAGTGCTGCTGGTTGGACCCTGGAACTCAAGGAGTGAACTGTTCCAGGTGGCGGTGGGAGGTACTACAGCCTCCTGGTGCTCTGGGGCTGTAGCGTTTGCTCTGTCCAGTGCGAGTAGCAAACCAGTCCAGCCTTTGGCTCCTAGCCCTGGCTTTGTTCACCAAGCTTCTAGCAGCAAGTTACAGCTGTGAAGCTGAAGGACAGTCAGAGATGGTTTCTCACGTTAAGGTGTGACTACTGCATTAAGCCGAACACCACTCAGATGATTAACACTTGTTCAGCTTATAACATAAGGCAGGGTTGGGCAAAATAGAGCCAACTGATTGGATTCAGCCTTTGGGAGCCACCCGCCAATTGGTTGGATCTGGCCCACAGCTGCCCCTGTGGTGCTCTGCATGGAACTGAGCCCCACTGGGGGCAGCCCATGCCACGCTCCTGCCCACACCTGCTGGCCCCAGTCCAAGGCAGCATGCACAGCATCTGGTAGCGCTGCTCCTGGTGCAGCTGTGGCTTCCCAGGTATTGATCAACTCCCCTCATGTCCAATGGCAATTCCTCCTCCAGCTGTGCCACTCGGGGTGGGGAAGAAGCTTCAGCCTTGCAGCTCCTGCCCCAGTGCTCAGGGCTCCAGCTCCAACTCCCGAGTGGATGGAAGGCACCCAGGAGCTTTAACTGGGTGGCTCCTGCCCCAGTGTGCAAGGCAGAAGGCAGCCAGGAGCTGGACCCAGACAGGGTTCAGCCCCATATGGAGCATCATGGGGGCAGCCACAGACCATACTGCCAGAGTGAGCTTTGTGGCATATACTCCCTGCTCCCTCCTCCATTTCCTCTGCCCTGGCTGGCTCCTGGAACCTAGTGCCCAGGCAGTGCCCCTGCCCCCACATCTACCTTCTCAAATTCCATCCCCAGAGAGCAGAGACATGCAGGGAGTGGATCACAGCTCTGTCCTGGGCCCCAGCCCCACACTGTCACCGCCTTGTGATCCCGCCCCATGATCCCAGCTTTGCCTGCCCATCCTGAACACTGCTTGTTGCCTACCTGCGGCCCCATCCCACATGGGGAGTTTTGGTGAGTTGCTGCAGTGGGGGAGGGAGGTACTGACCCAGGCCCAAATAATTGCCCATCCCTGGCATAAGGTATAACAAGGCCCAAATCTGCAAGACTGGCCATTAAGCCTACCCATGTCAGATACTAATTCTCCTTGATTATTTTTCCCACTCATCTAAAATTTGAGTCTCTTCCATGTGGAAAACTCATTGTTCAGGGGGTTACACCTGAAATGCATCATCCTGTTATACAATCTTGGCTGTGTTATAACTTACAAGCTTTAGACAAGATTACTATAAGGTGGATGGGCAACTGGCTCAACAGCCACAAGCAAAGGGTACTTATAAATGAATCCATGTTAGAATGGCAGGAGGTTTTGGTTGAAGTCCCACATGGGTCTGTTCTGGGTCCAGTGCTGTTCCACTTGTTTATTAATGATTTAGATGATTGCAAATGTGTTGGAGGCTAGGAGTACAATTCAGAGGATCTTAATAGATTGAAAAGCTGGGCTGGAACTAACAGGATAAAGTTCAAGACTGACAAAGGCAAGTTGCTACGCCTTGGGAAGAATAATCAAAAATACATAATAGGTGACACCTAGCTGGATGGTAGCACTATGGAGAGGGATCTGGGAGCCTTGATAGAGGCTGTCTGTAGTGTGATGCAGCTGCACAAAAGGCAAAATCAGTTTTGGGATACATCAATAGAAGCATTAGATACAAGGCACTGGCAGTGATAGTGCCTCCTTACTTGGCACTGGATAGGTCTCATCTAGAGTACTGCACGTGGTTTTTGTTTCTACATTTCAAAAAGGACATGGAGAAGTTAGAGAGAGTTCAGAGGTAGACAACAAAAATGACAGAGTTTGGAAGGCAGCCACAAGATTGGAAGTTGAAGGAGATAGGCATGTTTAGCTTGTGGAAGAGGTCTGTAAGAGGGGATATGATCACAGTGTTCAAATAGGGCCATCATAAATAAGAAGGAGAACACT